TAGCTTACAACATCTTCAAACTTTTGGGTTTAAGCAAGTCTCTTGCCTTGGCCTCCAGAATAGCTGGGACTACAGGTGCCTGCCACATCCAGCTATTTTTTAGAGATGGGGTCTGGCTCTGGCTCAGACTGGTTTCAAACTTGTGGTCTTAGGCAATCCACCTGCCTCAGCCTCCCAAGTGCAGGGATTAAAGGCATGAGCCCCCACACCAGGCCAATTATTTTTTTTTTTTGAGACTGAGTCTCAAGCTGTTGCCCTGGGTAGAGTGCCATGGCATCCTGGCTTACAGCAACCTCCAACTCTTGGGCTCAAGAAATCCTCATGCCTCAGTTTTTCTACTTTTAGTGGAGACAGGGGTCTCACTCTTGCTCAAGCTGATCTAGAATGCCTGAACAAGCAATACACTGGTCTTGGCCTCCCAGAGTGCTAAGATTACAGGCATGAGCCACTGCACCCAAGTAGATAATATTTTTATATCTGTAGCCACTTAAACTCTGGACATTATTCTTGTTACATTATATAATACATAAGACAGGTATCTTTCATCCTAATGCATGTTAATTGATTTAAGTAATATAGTGTTTCATCACTCAAACGAGGACAAATAACAAAATCAAATCATCAATCAGAAAAATTAGAGAAACACACTGTTTAGTGTCTTGTATGCATAAGACACTGTGCCCATCATTTGAATGGGGATATATTGACACAAATTAATAATGATAATGCTGCTGGCTAGGACATCTGACAAGAACATAAACATACAAAGTGTTCCTGTAAACACAGAAAATAGTTAAATCTTTTCCAGGTGAGGTGGAGCCTCAGAGAGCAAAAGGATGTAAGAATAACATTAGCTCAATGCCTTCAAGATTGAAGAGTGAACTGAGCAAGAAAGTAAATTCCCAGGAAGCTTTAACAAAAACAAAGATTATCTCGTGCAAAATGTCAATGAATAAAATAATTAAAAACAAACGAACAAAGAAAAAAAATAACCTGAGAGTATTTATTTTGGAAAAAATTAATAGGATAGTCTGAGTAAAGAGGAGAGGGGGATGGGAAAAGGGCAGCAGATAAGAATGCAAGTGAGGGAAGGGGGAAGAACAGATAGAACTGAGAATGCAAACATAGGTTGGAAATGGTCTGCAAAGGATTTAGAAGTCAATGCTAAGAAGCCTGGCGTTTATTCAAGTTTCTAGGAAAAACTGCCAGAGTTGTATAAATGGGAGAGACACAATCAGACTTTTAATTTTTAAAGATAACTCTGATGGTAACAGTAAATGGATTAGATAGGAGAAAAAGATAAGCTCTGTTGAATTGTGGTATTATCACTCACACTAGAAAAATACATTGAAATGTTTGCTACCGTATCAGCTTGACTTGACAGCGGAGGCTTTTGCTGTGACTGGATCACAGCTTAATTCTCTCTGCCTCATACCGTCTCCTAACTTTCCTCCCACAGGGTTGATCCCAAGAGCACTCCCTTAGAACAAATATTTCACAAGCTAGTCTGCATCTCAGAGTTGGCTTTTGAGGAACTCAATCTACATTAGTGTTGTAGTGCAGATCCACGTTCTTTCCTGAGAATGTGATCATTTCTGACTGGTTCAATTGCTCCATTTGACCTGGTGCTGGAAGAAGGGTATGTCAAAGTCACATGCATTTTCAGCCCAGAATATATCACAGAGAGGAGCCCACTGGCTATGCCCCAGCAGAAGAGAGGCCTGTGCAACAACTTTGGATAAGTCTAATTAAATTGTGAAGTGTCACATACTTGCGGTGTGCAATTACACTCGCTGTTAGGTCTAGTAAGCCCTTAGAGAAATAGTCCTTCCTCTCAAAGAAAAAGAAATAAAAACCATGTCAGAATCTCATCCCTCTTATCTCAGTGCCAGAGAGTTTAAAAACAAAAACGAAACCAACCCAGTTGACTTAATTTTTGTTTTCTAGAAAGTGGAAAGTTTTTAAACAATTTAGTTTTGACTTTCTACCCTGTAGTCATTTATCAAATTATGAAGCATATTTGTTTACCTGCACTACTCACTGCCATAGACTCAAAATTGAGTCTGAACAAGAATAAAGAAAACAGGAAGGATATTATTAAATATTCATTACCTAACTCATTTTGTAAATGATTTTTCTATAATTTCTGGTGATTCCACACTAAATCCCACAGCAGATATGAATGATAATATAGGCACAGCCTTGTTCCTACCAAAGTTCCAAGTACACGCTTATCCTAAATTTGGCTTACTTCAATTAAGTATTTTTAGCAGATTTTTTTTTAACTGCCAAGGGAAAACAATTCCCAGTCAGTCACTCATAACTCTCGTATATGTTGTAGATTGCTTTAACTCTAAAGGGTACAAAGGACACCCTTCAGCCCCTCAGAGTCCCAACATGTGTGGCTTTCTCCACAGAGGAGTTTGGATCTTTGCCGAAGGGCGCTGAGCCAATGCAAACCCCGTAGGTCTAAACACCGCTGAAGTACTACATCTTGACACTCACTTGCTACTGTGGAGTGCCTTTTAGCACTGGAGTGATTTATATACATTGGAATGGCAGATACCTACATAAACAGACATTGTTACCTTTGCATACATAATCCCCTCATGAATTATATATTTTATAGAGATATAAAGAAATATCAGTTATGTAGAAAATATCTAATTCTATAATGTATTCAGATAACCATGTATTTCAATGAAGTCTAAATGAAATTGCTATTTCATAAACATTTACTTTATTAAATATTAGCACATTTCAAGCATGGAATATGGCCAAAGAGAGATTTGCTTAAAATAGTCACAGAAGGAAGTTATGCTATCAGCATTTATTTTAAGCAATGACCTAATACATTCAGTTCAGATAAATAGACTTTTTCTTCCAATCCCTGAAGGCAGAGAACAGAACATGAACAAGTTCCCTTAAAAGTATGAATCGCTTTTGCTGTTGTACAAAAACTGTAACATATTTGGGAAAATGCCTTTGATACTATATAGTATCTCTTAAAGCAAACTACAAACAAAGATTAAGATTTTTCCTGGGCCTCTTTCATAAAAAGTGTTGTTCCCTGCTAAGATATTTATTAACAATTGAGATATTACTTGATAATATCAATTGACTCTTACGAATATGAACACTTTAAAAGAAATTCCTGAAGAAAAAACACAGCTCAGAAAAATGAAATGGACCTATAATGTTAGAATTGAAACTAAACTTTTCAAATTCCAGTACATAATCAACTGCTCATTTATCCTAAACATTATCCAGGTGACAGAGGAACCTTTAAAAAGATAATCTCGCTCAAAGGAGTAGGGAGCCGGCCCCATAGGCTGGAGGTAGAGGGCTCAAACCCAGCCCCAGCCAAAACAAGTGCAAAAATAAATAAATAAATAAATAAATAAATAAATAAAAGATAATCTCATGAGTTTCTAACTGTTGAGCTGAGAACAATTACTGGCACTATGTTAAGCCCTCACTTTTTGTTGTAGAACCACAGATTACAAGAAATGCATGCAAATAACATTTGTGTTCAAAGATTATTTCCTTATTTAATTTTCTTTCTTTCTTTCTTTCTTTTTTTTTGAGACAGAGTCTCAAGCTATCTCCCTGGGTAGAGTGCTGTGGCATCACAGCTCACAGCAACCTCCAACCCCTGGGCTCAAGCGAGTCTCCTGCCTCAGCCTCCCAAGTAGCTGGGACCACAGGCGTCCACCACAGCGCCTGGCCATTTTTTGGTTGCAGCCGTCATTGTTGTTTTGGCGGGCCCAGGCTGGATTCGAACCCACCACCCTAGGTGTATGTGGCTGGTGCCCTAGCCACTTGAGCCACAGGCGCCGAGCCTTTAATTTTCAGTATTCATAACAAATAACTCCTTTTCTCTGGTGAGACTCAAAACAATGTGGAAGAAGCACTTAAAAATGAATGATTCAAAGGCAAAATCTATTGTTTCAATGCAGGGATTTAGTAATACTAACATGCATGAAGATAAATATTTTGCCTATGCAGATTAATGCTCTAAGAACAAACAATACTAATAACTGAGCATCTGATATTTGATTTTTAAATACATCTCACAATTAACGTTAAGTTAAATTGGCCATTATAGATGAATGCTATAGAAAGCTTCATGGTCCAAGGTCTTTGAATGACTGATAAACAACTCTTGATGGATAGGAAGAATTCAATACTGGCAATGATTGACCTGAAACCTTGTAATAGCTCCTCATGTATCTTTATCAATGCTTCTTAAGAAGAAAGTCAAAAGAAAAATAACAACAGAAGGTACTTCATTGATCCAGATAGGTCATTGATTATGTATTCTCAGCAGTCCCTCAATCACTACCAATCTTGGTACCTATCTCAACTTGCATACATATTGATATCTGCTAAAGTACTAACTAGATAATAATTGATAAAATCCTCCCAATTTCCCACTTCTAGTTAAAAATGAAGGGTAGTAGTAACTGCCTTTGGATTTTACATAACTCACATATATTTATTTTTAGCGGTAACATTGTTCTAATAGTGTTGATGAACGGCATTATTAATCTTCACAGGCTGAGAGTGATTGATTGGGTCATAAAAGAAATTTGTTCAGATGTGAATAAAAGTGTGGATAAAACAGTCTAAACAGTATGGTATTAGGACATCACCACAGTCAAACTACAGTTGAAGTTATGGTTAAATGTTAATTGAAACCTAATAAAGTCACTTGTCAGTTGCTCAATTCAAAGCTTTGTGTTTTTCTTATATAGCCTAGTACATATTCACTAATGTTGGGAGTTTTTCATTCATATTTTCATATGTGAACATTATGCTCACTTACTCTCCATGCCGAGCATGCACATGAACTTAAATCCACAAAAATCCAAAATGTATGTCAGAGGCAAAGTGTTCTTTTAATACGCTCCTTTTAGACACATAATTTTAGGTCACTTAAAACAGAACACAGGTGAAAATATATGAATACAATCAACTGTATATATCAATGAACTGACCTTCTTAAAATTTTTGTTTAAGTCAACCAGACTGAGCAGAAAGATGTGGTCCTTGGCTCCCAGAAGCAGCTTGCCCCTCTCCTCATCTAACAGAAGGGTTTGGAAGTCCAGTCCTTCTGATGAGCCCAGAAAGGGAACACAGCTGTTGGAAAGCAGCAAGTCTATTGGAAAGAAAAAGAAGTAAGGAAAGGAAGAAGAAAGTCTTAATAAGTGAAGTAGTTGCTTGCCACAATATACATACTGTCCCACTTTGTAAGTGCCTGTACCACATGCACAGTATAAGGGCACCAATTCAGTCTTACAGTTCTTAACACATACTCATTTAGAAACAGATGTATTATATTTGTACCTTATGAACACAGTATTTAATGTATGACAAATAATATTAAAAATATTTTTAAATGATATGTGCACATTCTTAAATTATAATTTAAAGCATACACCTATAGTAATATTACTAAATTTATAAAATTAATTCATATAGGTCGGGCATGGTGGCTCACACCTGTAATACTAGCTCCCTGGGAGTCTGAGGCAGGTGGATTGCTTGAGCTCAGCAGCTTGAGACCAGCTAGAGCAAGAGCAAGAACCCGTCTCTACTAAATAAATAAATAAATAAAAATAGAAAATTTAGCTTGGCATAGTGGCCTTTATGAGTAGTCTCAGTTACTCAAGAGGCTGAGGCAAGAGGATTGTTCTAGCCCAAGAGTTTGAGGTTACTGTGAGCTACGATAGCACAGCATTCTACCCAGGGCAACAGAGTGAGACTGTCTCAAAATATGCAAATAAATAAGTAAAGAAAGAAAGAAATTTGTTACTATACGTAAAGTAAACATCACAGTGTGTCATAAATGTGTCATAAATGTCTCAGCACACTCTCCTACCTTTTTAAAAAATAATCTTCATTTTCTGGAGTGGTTTATATTCATATCAAAATTGATGGGGAAATAGATTTCCCATATTCCACCTGCTCTGATAAACTCATAGCCTCCCCCATTGCCAGCATCCCCTACCTCAGTGGTTCATTCATCATGATCATTGACTCTATATTGACAAATCATCACCCCAAGTCCATCATTTACATTAGGGCTTACTCTTTGTGCTGCAAATTTTGGGGGTTTCGACTAAGGTATAAGGACATGTATCTACCATCATAGCATCGTATAGAGCAGTTTCACTGCCCCAAATTTCCTGATGTCTCCATAGGTTTGCCTGTTACACAATGTCATGCCTTTGAATTTATACAGCATGAAGTATTTTCAGATTGATTTCTATCACTTAGTAATAAGCATTTAAGTTTTCTTTATGTCTTCATGGCTCGGTAGCTCATTTATTTTTAGTGCTGACTAATATTTCATTATCTCGAAGTACCCAAATACAATTATACATTCACTGACTGAAGGACATCTTGGTTGCTTCCAAGTTTTGGTAATTATGAATAAAGCTGTTATGACCTCTGTGTACAGGTTTTCACATGGGCACAGATTTCATCTTCTTTGGGTAAATATTAAGAAGCATGATTGCTGGATCTCATGCTTAGGTTTATATAAGACCTCCAAACTGCCTTTCTCACCATCTATACTATTTCATATCCCTATCAGAAATGAAGGAGAGTTCCTGTTGCTCCATACCAGGCGTCCTCCAACTACAGCCTGTGGGCTACATGCGACCCGCTTAGGACATTTATCAGGCCCGCCGGGTGTTTTTGCCACCACTGCCTGTCCTGCTTAGCAGCCGACTCGTCCCAGAGCCCGCGGTCTGGCCCTTCAATGGTCTGAGGGATAGTGAACTGGCCCCCTATTTGAAAAGTTTGAGGACCCCTGCTCCATACCCTTATTAACATTCAGTGTTGTCACAGGTACTTCTTTTTCGATTGGTATTTCTATTACGACATATGATGTGGAACACTTTCCATACACTTATTTTCGCCATCTACATATCTTATTTGGTGAGATGTCTGATAAAGGTTTTGACTCATTTTTTAAAAACTGAGGTTTTTCTTTTGTTGTTGAATTTTAATAGTCTTTGTATGTTTTAGATAACAATCTTTTTTTATCAAATATGTCTTCTGCAAATATTGTCTCCTGCCTTTGGCTTGCTTTTCCCTTTCTTATTTGACCATATTTAGATTGACACTTGTGTTGGGAGGATTAGACTATTTCTGTTAAACGCATGCTTAAGAAGATGCAAACAAAGAAGCAGAATCCAAGCAAATGGATTCCGCAAGAGCTCTGACTCTGAACTAGCAATGGAATCAGAATTTTAAAGCTTCAAAATTAACTAATGCAAACTCGTAGTTTCACAAATTAAGACATTTAATCCCGTCAAGGTCAAGTAGCATGCCCTAAAGTCAAAATTATGTGCTGACGAAGTTGATAATTGAATCAGAGTTCATAGTCTCCGTTTCTCCTTGACACATCTCTGTAGGTCCCAGTTCTTTGTTGCCTTTAGTTGTGATATGTGCAGACTCCTATGAAGTATAAGGAACTCAAATATTTTCAATTGATTTTATCCCAAGTTCTTACAATACCATCTCATTTTTTATAATCCCAGAGTACCAAATACCAATAAGGTAATAATATAATTCATCAGTATATTAAAATCCATCGTATGTTATAAGACTTTGGAACCAAGTCATTATTTTAAAGTAATTCATTATTGACTGATGAGAAAGGTAAAAAGGAGGTAATGTCTTATACATAGGCAACAAGATACTTGGTCATTCCAATATCTGTAAAGTGAATATTTGAGTATCTTAAATTTAAAGGTTATAAACTCATCAGCTATGGACTTTATTGTTATTCCATATTTTGATCATTCTCTTCAATTTTTTTTTTATTTTACAATGAATAAATGTTATTTCCCTTAGTTTCTAAGCTAGAGTCCTGCCTTAGTTTTGACAAAGCAAAAGGCAGAATGCTAAAGAAAATATGATACTCCCTGAAATCATGAGTATGGCTTTCCCATACACAAATATCTTATTAATATTTATTGGTCATACTTTGTGTGCACTGTATGGAAGTCTGAACTCTATACTCATTATTTTTTATTTAATCTAAATATGACTTTAATTGCTTTTCGGACAAAAGACTCAATGGTATCATATTTTTTAGCAGCTCCAAATGCAGTTAGCTTATTTTTACAGGGCTAATACCCAATAAACTTGCCATAGGGATCATAAAGTTGAACTGAGAATAGAATAGTGCAACCAGGAGAAAAGCTGAAACAGATACAATCTAAAACCTTAACAAGAGAATGCACTACACACAAACCTTAATTCAATTAGGCAATTCTCTATTTATAAAGGGATTTCTCTTACTTAGCCAAGATTGAAATAAGCAAAATAAAAATACAGGAGGTGATTCCCAGAAGTATATTTTGATTCAACTAGTAGAGGAAAGTAGTTTATATGATCTAAATCCTTGTTATTTCAAGTGCCTCTAGATAATAATCAATTATTTTGAATCATGCATTGCCTTGTTTTCTACAAAGTGAAACATTACTTAGCATAATGAATAGAAGTACAAACTGTAGGTCCAGGCTACCCCGTCATCTCCTGGCCTCAAAATTGACTGGCTATGTAACCAAAAACAAGACACTTCACCTGTGTCTCAGTTTCCTCACATATAAAATGAGGATAATAATATAAACTGTGTAATAAGCTTCAATGCTGTGAAAAATAAATGAGTTAATATATGATCAGTGTTAAAATAGTGCCTAGCACTTAGTAAGAGATATGTAGCTATCAGCTATTATGTGATAATGGTGTGCTTTTATTAAAGTCTATACAAAATATATAAAAAGAAAATCATAATATTTCTCAACTCATATAGTTCTCATGGTGATCAAAGTAAGCAGTGGATATAAAATTCTTAGAGCAATGTCTGATAGATAGGAAAATATTATTACTTTGGATATGGTTATTAAACTCTGCTTTATGCCAAAAAGGTTACATTTTAAAAATATATTATCTCATCTTCCATTAAATCAGAATTAGGAAGATGAGAACATCTCTATTTTTTTATGATAGTGGAATAATATTGAAATTCTATTCATTCCACAAATATTTATTAGAATTTATTGTGCACTAAGCGTGAAGCATCACATTCTGCTTCTGGGATTAGGGAGCCTTGTGTGTAAGGAGCTCACAAATTGGTGTTGAAACTAATATGTATATAAAAAACAACATGTGAAATAAATTCTGATAGAAATCTGTGCAAAGTGTTAAATATTTTAAGTAATTGTGTATCTCCTTCTAAGAAGAGGTGATATTTGAGCACAGTCTTTAAGGACAATAGAATTTTGACAGAAAATATATAAAGGAGAGTACATTCCAGGCAGAAGAGATGCCACAATGCACCTGTCATCACCTGTAGCCTTAACACACTGCACTTTTAATCTGTCTCCTACTCTGGAGTGTGAGCTCCTTCAGAGCAAAAACCATGTCTTACTTATCATTGAATCTCCACCTTATAACTAAGAATCTGAGACAACAAAGCACTTAATAGATGTTTATACGATTGAAGAAATGTTATATATGCTAGACTACAAAAAATACACATGGCATTGAGAAGTAAAACTAGACATAAAGGCAGCATCTAGATGAAGAGAGATAATGTGGCAGGCTGGGGAGGTTGGTTAATACATAGGTGACAAGGAGTCACTCCATGTTTTTAATTCAGAAAACTGACAAAGACCGTAACTGACTGTTACAAAGGCATGTCTGGCTAGAGTGCTCAGGATGGATGAGATCCGGGACAAGGGATGAGGAAGATTGTCCAGAAGTTACTCAACTTTTGTAGCCTCTGAATTGTGGCAAGGAGAGGAGAGAGATGTTTAAGAACTATGTATTTCATTTTTTTGTTGTGGTTTCTTTACTTATATAGTAAGGAAAATAAATATAAAGTTGATATAGTCATTTGCTTTCTTTTCCTTCGCCATAACCAATTCTTTTGGGTTTAGTTTCAAACAAACTTGACAAGGAAAAACAGCTGCAAAAATAACCGAGGGTGTTATCATTCCAAGTGATTTAATGTTGCCTTGTGACAATGCTAGCATCAAAAGGATTAAAGCATGCAGCCAAACTAAATAATTAGACTTAGGCATTACATATGAAAATTTTTCAGGCTGACCCACGTATTATGAAAAGACCTCGAGACAG